TTCCAAGAGACTCAACAACTAGTACACCATCTCAAGCTGTATCGCGACTCTCTCCACCCTGGTTGCACCGGAGATAGTTCCTTGCCCGAATATCTCTATCATCGTCTGGAAGCACACCAGGACCTTCTAAGCCTACCCCACCAGTTAGCCACTCACCTACTTGCTTCGCACTTCTCGACACTTATCACTGATGGAGTAGTACCGAGGTTCATACTCGATGACGCATTGATCTTCGAGGGATCCTTACTCTTCAGCTCGAGGGGAGACACAGGCCACATCATCAAACGGTTGCTGGAAGGTCAGTCAGTCATGCTGAGGGGTCGAGAGTACAGCCTAGCTTGGAACCCTCAGAGATCATTGCCCGAGTCACCCGCGTTGGGGCAACCTTCTACATTCCTTGCCGAAATTCTGACTCTCCCTCGAGAGACACGTCGTTCCGACGATACATTGAAGTCACCACAGAGAAAGTCTCGGGGTATATGGAGAGAGAACGCTGCAAGTACTCGAGCTGTTGGGATCCATCTCTCCTTTGTAATCCCTTGTCGCCCGTCGCGCACGGGCCCACGTGGTTCGTCACCGGGTAATTCCTCTGTGCCACTTATTGAGCCGTCGAGCTTCGGTGTAGCTGGTGCTGCCATGGTATCTGGTAACCTCTCTGCCTTTCAGTTCACACCGACTCGTCACTCGCGGGTCCGGGTAGTTTGTCTGTGCCACTTATGGTTGGTGCTACCATTGTAAGTAGTTACCTTTGTCCCCTCTGTTTATTCCAAAAAAACTCTGGCGCGCGTGGACATAACACGCACCCGACAAAGAGACGATACTCGCCTACGACAGACCAGACCGTAACGTGATCAGCGGGCGCCGTGCCTGCGCTGTTCGCCGAACTCGTGAACTCTGAAACCTCTCTGGGCGGTGCGGGCAATGTACGTGCGGGAGGTCAGGGCCCGGGGTTAAAGCCCTCGGGAGGGGCCCGGGGTTAAAGCCCCTCCTCGGAACTACCCGAAACATTGTCGAAAACTCGGCGAGACATGCTCCGGACCACACTCTCCAAACACCCCCAGCCACCTATCTGACCTTAGAGCTCCATCAAACCCCAATTTTCCGCAAGACCCCCGACTGGCATGTCCCTAGACAATGTCGGCTTCCAGTTGTTATGCCTCACCCGCCAGGCAACGCTTTTGAACTTCAGGCCCCGCAGAGACAGAGCTGCAACAAATGTGGCAACAAGCAGCTGCGGTACGAGGAGCCATCGCAGGAAGGACTGCCCCCACAGCGGTGACAGATGCGCCATGTGTGGCCGCAACGGACACTGGACTAGGATGTGCCCCAGGCACCACCTCACGGATGAGGATGCGGGCCGGAAGGCGTTCGTGGAGGTCGGTGAAGGCAAGACCCACTGTAGACCCGTTGTGGATATTTTAAAAATAATGCGCCAGCCCGGATTTGAACCACTTTGGCGGAAATGCAATGTATTGCGAGTGGCTATGTTCATGTGGCCGTCAATGGGTGGAATGCCAAAGCACGTGGGCATGCCGGGGTCGACTCACCAGTGCAGTAGGGTGGCATATCCATCCGATATAAAACGGACGCCCGGAGGGACTTGGCTACAGACTGGAACAGAGCCGAATGCTGCGGCGGATCAACCGTACGAAGAACCGGGACCCTTTCTGACTCGGCACCCGCGGGAGGTACATGGTCATACTGGCGGCGCCCGGCAGTTGACCACAGCGACTTTGTTTGCGGCAGTGCAGTCAACTACAGCTCAGTCACATGCGCTAGAAACCCTGAATGAGGGTGAAGTATCCAATACGACATGTGAATGGGATGAGGAATGGGACTTAACGAATGCGGGGGGATTAGATATCGTAAATGATTTTAATCCGGACTGGTACCTGGTGGATGACCAGGATTCAGGAGAAGCCGGTATGTTGGACTCGTTGGAGGTGGACTGGGAATTGTTTCGAACGGAAACAGCACCGAATTTTACGGTAGACCAGCGCTACGAAGAACCAGCGGTTCTTGCCGGACAGCGGGCGGAGGTACAGGGTCAGCCTGACGTAGGGCAACCTTGTGTCGGGGAGGGTGCGGTTGGTTATCATGATGTCCGGCAGGGGCTGACCGCTCGTGTCCTGCGTGACCGTCTAGGAGACAAGGTGGATCCTGTACTGTCGTGTGGCGATGAGGAAAGCAAGATCGTGCGACGTGTGTTCACTGGTTTCCAAGGAGGATCGCTGGAGCCGAAGGTGGGGGTCTCTTTCGAGGTCAGTACGTGGCGTTCATATAGTCTAGCCCTCTTTTTGCGAGAGAGGCTTTCTAACCAATCAAGCACTAGCTTGGTTGGTCGAACCGGTTCGGATGCGAAAAGCCAGTTCGACAAGTTGGTCGATCTGGCGGCGCGGCGGCTGAGGAGACCCACTGGAGTTTCGGATGTGTGGTTCCTAGCTTGCGCGATGGACGACTCGCGAATATTAGGCCGTCGCTGGGATTGGGTGCCGATGAGCCTTCAGCAACTGAATGGCTGGGATTCTGTTTCGCCACTGTACAGAGGCACCATTCCGGACGACCTGTCGCGACTACCTCAAGGCAAGGAGGCAATTAAGATAGTAAGCACCGCTTCCAAACTCCAGTTCTGGCTGCAAGAGGCGGCATCCGCTTTTCTCGCTGGGAAACCGGCCACAGCGCAGGCGTACCGGAAAGTAGCCACGGCCTGGGTCATGCGCAACGCCATAGGCCCGGAGAGATTTGACGAAGAGATCCAGAGCTGGGCGACTCGCATTCCGATTTGTGCTGGGACCGGGCCGTCCAGGGAGCAGGCTTCGCGACTTTTGTGTCAGGTAGACATCCCGACTAGAAGCAACAAGAGATATGCGACTCGCAAGCGCGGGTCCAAAAAGGATCGAGTCCGGCGCACCCCGCGTTCGAGCCTGCCGCGGTCCAGCCTGCCGCGGTCGAGCTTTCCTAGCTCGGGCGCTGGCGAGGCGCAAGTTGCAGAAAGTGCCACGATAACAGCAAATGCCACGGTAACAGCAAATGCCACGGTAACAGCAAATGCCACGATAAACCACACAGTAAGCCACGGATACGAAGGAGGGGGGCCCATTCTGGCCGGGAACTGGCCGGCGGTGCAGAGTCAGTCAGTGGTTTTGCTTGGGCAGTCGCCGAAGGTACAGGGTCAAGTATTGACCCGGCCTAAGGCATTGCAGTCACAGCAGGAGGAGGAAGTATCCGACATGATAGGAGGACACTTCGATGTGGAGTTGGACCGGTACCTACCGAATGAGCAGGATCCGGAAGAATCCGGTACATTGGACGCGTTGGATATGGACTGGGAATCATTTCTGATTGACCACACGGAAGCAGCACACGACTCAGTGCATCAACGACACGAAGGACTGGGACCGTTTCCGACCCAGCACTCGCTGGAGGTACAGGGTCAAGTATTGGTTTCATCTGAGGCAGTGCAGCAGGTGGATGCGAAATCGTTTATGACCCGGACAGACCAACAGAATATGCGAGCAACCGACATGATGAATATCGGACAATTTATGATGAATGAAACGCAAGTAGAAGGAGGGGGGATACAGGGTCAGTCAGCGGCCGCGTCCCAGCTAGAAGAAGAGGCCGCCTTGAGGGCTTTCGTGGGGACTGTAATACAGGAATGTGTCATAGCAGAGCAGAAGGCAGCAGAGCTCTACGGAAAGGAGTGGTTGTATCGGGAAGGGTTCATGCCGGAGGAAGGGAAGCGAGAGGTGGCCGAGTGTGTGGTTGATTGGATGGGGCGGACGGACCTGGGCGCGCTGGAACGCCGCATTGTGAACCCGGACTTCAGCCTCGTCGGGTGGCGATGGGTGCACCTGGCCGGCTTCATTAGAGACCGGTTAGACCGCCATGTAGTCGACGACTTCGTGAGAAGGGCCCAGCAGGTGATTCCGCGCCCTGCTGGAGTCTCGTCCCCGTGGTACCTCGCCACTGTGCTGCGGTTCTTGCGGGCCGGTGCGGAGCTGAACACCCACCTCACTTGGTGGCTTCCGCCTCACGATAGCGGTTGGTTGTCCCTGGTTTGCCTGAATTGCGATGTCTTTCCTTATGACTTCGGCCAACTACCCGAATGGCAATCATCACGTCAGAAGCTGGCTGTCGTCTGCTGGATCACACACTGGCTCAAAAAGGGGGCCGATAACTTCCGTTCCAAAAATCATCACCGCCAACGCTCACACAAGCCCTGGCATCATCGTGTGTTTCGGTTCGTCCGCGAAGCACTCGGGGATTGCACGTTCGGTCAACTCGTTGCCTTGTTTAAACCGCGACTCCCACTCTCCCCCGGTGTCCGGTTGTCCGACACCGAGGCAATGATCGTCCTGCTCCAGCGCTCCACCATCGATTCCAGACGAGCCGAGGCGTTCTTTGCGCAATTCGATCTCGCCCCAGAACAAACAACCGGGCCTGAAGAACCGCCCAGAAAACGATCGAAAACAACAGACACAAAGCCCGACAAGAGTCCAGGTCAGTACGACATTTAAAAAGCAGTATTGATCTAAATTAATCCCACGCCCCTGGAAACACGTTTTTTTCTCCTAACGTTCGATCGTCCTAACGTTCGATCGGTTGGGCCTTCAGTTCCCAACCATACAAACCATTGACCAGCCAAACTGAAAAGACCTCACGTCTGTTATTACCACGCGGCCAAGTCAGCCGGCTTCCAAGTTGAACCTTTTGCCCAAGACTCTTTGTTTATCTTTTTCTCAATCAGAGTTAACTTTGTCACCGTCTGACAACTCTGGGTCAATCAAAGCGTGTCGCGTTTGAGTTCACCTGTAAGGAGTACGAGCCGAAGACCAGGACGCCGTCATGCGCGTGCACACGGTATACTTCACCGAACACCCTAGTACGCAAGTTGTATAACCCGGGCCACGTGAACGTTATGTCGAACGACGTTGCGACAGAAATACGCAGCACACATCAAGGCTTAGGATCGGAGGCCACCTTTTCGTCTGGCCCACTGCCGGGAGATAGTCACTTTGGATTTTGTGGTCACAAATAAGTGGGGTACCATACCGAGCCAGTCCGACCCGGCAGTATTTCCGTCTGAAATGAAACAGAGGTATCTGAAACAGACGTATGAAGGATCCACATGAGACAGGTGAATGTACAGGGTCTAACTGATGCATTGACCCCGCCGGCTGCGGGAAAGCAGACATACGGACTAGAGGTAACCAATTAACAAAATCCAAGGATAACTGAATATACAGATACGGACGAACAGGATCTCTTCCAGTCGAGAAGTTTTTGAAGGTTCAAGGCCAGTCCGGCATCAGATACGGGAGGGCCAAGAACCAGGGTCAATCTGGCACCAGACAGTCGAGATAGCTGGGATGCGTCCGCCTTAAAAGCTTTCGTCACAACTGTGATACCGAAATGTGTTGAAGAAGAACGACCCGGTGGCCGAAGCCGAGCAGGTGCTTCCGCTATCAGTCGTACCTCGCCAATATTCTACGCTCTATGCGGATCCGTCAGACGCTTGATGGCAGCTTCAATCTGTGGCTCCCCAACAGCAGCGACTTGGCATCCACCGTCTCCTTGTACTCCGACATCGACTTCGGTCCCCTGCCCGAATCTCAACGGCTGCTGGCGATCTCGGTTGGGCTGCACAGGGGCTCAATATCGGAACTGAACACTTCGGGCAGACCAAAGGACAAGTGCGCCCAGACAAGCTCTGACACCCTTCCGAATTGGTCCCCGTCGCCCAATTCGTCCACGAAAAACCGCAGATTCGACCAACTCATGGCGCTTTTTAGAGAACGAAGGAGGACTCCTCGGCTGGCCTACAAATCCAGTGTGGAGGAGCCCTGCAGACTGCGGCAGGCAGGGCAGCAATATCGACTAGAAGGAATGAATCAACAGAATGTGGCAGAATGTTGGAGCATCCCAGACCATAGGTAAC